CACCTCCAACCGCTCAATCAGACAATCTGGAAAGAAACTGACATCGATTAGCCGCCATTTCTTGCAACGTCTCCAGCCAAGCACAAACGGGGTCACGGGGACCCCATCCTGGGAGGCGTACAACACCAACAACACTCAAACTCTTAGTGATCTCTTTCACGCCTTTCTGCCGAGTCATGTGCTGTCCACATCGCGGTTTGCGCCATCCTGAAGGAGGCACGGAGAACAACACTCGTCTCGATAGACGGTGTTTCGCCACGCGTAACACATGACCGAGCCATCGCAGTCGATGATGCTGGATGTTTTCCCGGATTGAGGTGCCTGCAGCACAACCAAATACCCGTTTTCTAATCGCCTCGTTACTGACACGCTGACGCCATCCACAATCAGCCACGCTTCTGAGGCATCGGTGGTCGAAAACCTGAAGACGCCTCACATCACCGGTCCGCGGGGGCCATGTCTCGCACCCATACAACAACACAGCCCTTGAGCCATGAAGTACAGCGAACAAATGTTACACATCATCATCTTTGAAAAGTTCGCGGAAGCCAATGTATCACTTGAACAGCGTTTCGTTCTCGACACAGTTCATCAGTAGTGTCAAATGGTTCAGTGAATCACTGCGAGTGACGCTGTCCATATGCAGTGGGACAATAAGTTTAGTAGTAAATGTAGCTATCCGCTACTCACGTCAATAGGGCCCGTGACTATAAAACGACAACCAAAGATATTCATCTTCCCAGTACAATAACCCGCTTTTTCAAACACAACGAGCCACATCGAGAGACATTTCCTCAAAAGGAAACACTTTTCCCAGGGCTCAAGAACTACACTATTGAGTTGGTAGACAAAGCATCAACTTTTCAACTAAAGAGAATGTGGCTTAAGTTGCAATGGACATTGGTTTGACTGCTGAGCTGGGCAACTTGGTTACAATCGATTCAATTCAGTTTATCAGCTATAAATCAAGGGAATATTGGTTCCAGCTGCTACAGTTTCGATCACCGGAAAACGGGAAAGTGGAATACACAATCAAGCCTTCGACGCGAAGGCATGTTCACATTGTTCGGAAGCTGGGCAGCTACGCATTGAAGGCGATAGCTTTGATGCACGAGCGCCACTGACTGCGTGATTGGGCCATTGCTGTCAATGTCATTAACCACTGATGAGTTGAGTCCCGAAGTCCCCATGCAGGGAGGCGGCAGTTGCCCACCCGACTAAGTTTACTGGTTAGTGTTTTTCATAGATTGTCCACCTCTCGGTCGCTTCCAATTAGCACAGGGTGGGCGGAAAGAGCTCTGCGAGACATATGGCCTTTTGGCATGCATAGGCCCAACCAGCACAACCAATGAAGCGCAGGAGAGTTCCTTCTCCATAAGACCGCTTGGCGTACCTCAGCACTTGGCTACAAACGTTTCACCACCCACCAATCAAAAGACAGGTCAACCAAAAGGCGTGAATGGTCGTGGTAAGGGGAAAACCAATTTATTCCTCTTAAAGACGAGATGTCATTGGTTGAGGTCATTGAAAAAGGACACTTTGTGGGATGTCTCCAAACCAGTGAGAACCAGTGAACTAGATTTTGGTGACTGTGAAATAATGAAGCAAGTAGAGAGAATTAATGAAGAGGCTCTGGTATCATCAGAAAGTAATGCAGCTATGTCAGCCTTGAATCAGTTAGTCCATGAAAAGTCATAGGGTTGTCTTCGGAGACTAGTTGTAAAGAAAGTGTCCAAGTTAAATTACCTCACAAGCTTGCAAAATCCCATTTCAGTAAGGAATGTCCGACTGTTGAATACAGATGAACTTTCTTCGCCTGCGTGAGTAGGCAAGTGCAGTTAAAATTGTTGCAACTAACATCTGAGAAGTGCCTATGGGTGTGATTCTCCCACAATTTTTTAGCGGCAGCAGCTGTGGCGGAAGACTGTTGAAACCGAAGTTTCGAACACCCGACTTCTGGATCCGAACACACGATCAATAATGCTAGTCTATTTCTGAGTAGTAGATGAACAACAAGTGGAAAATGACGAAACCAAGCTTTCGCTTGATGTCACATCACTAATCACTTCAACCAATCACAATCTCGCGAGTGAAACAATAACCGAGGTTATTCGGAATCATCAAACCCGAAGGCCTATGCAGGCTGTTGGTCTCTGACATAGGCAAATACTTTAGCTTTCGTGGACAGATGAAGGAACCAATGAGATCTCCAAAATCAGAATTTATCGCTGACGCGGTAATGCGAAAATCAGAACGTGGCACAACCACTGATGCACTGTTACTCTCTACTCCACTCCCTAACAACGGACTGATCATGTCATCTCGATTGGTGATAAGACGTTTGCACTCAAACTGTCCAGCTCAGCGAACAAGCTAACAACCGAGCTACCGACATTTCCATCAATAGCACGAAGCCTATGTGGACGCGAAACAGCTCGCTTCTGAATTGATTTCGACTTACGGAGCAGGACAATCTGATGACATGCTGTCTTGGTTTGTCGATGAATATTTACTCAACATTACGTAGTAGTTGACGGCGCTATCGTGCTAGAGGAACCCAGTACCCAGAACAAACAAGCCGGAAAATGAGTAAACCGGTGAGGCAGAAAAAAGCTGATAAATCATTGCGGTTTCTGTGTAAATTACAGCACTCCCAAGAAATCGGTTCGAACTAAATTATTGAAAAAGCGATTAAAACGCTTATAATAATTTGCCTCCTTTCTGATATAATCCACGTAATCTGCTCAAATGTTCTTGTTATTTGCGGTCGGACCCATTTAATTTGGATGATATAGTGATAATGATTTATTAGTAACTTTTCTGCAAATTTTGTAACGAAGAGGTATGTACCTAGAGAAGAGATAAAAAAATTGATACATATGTTGAACGTATCCATGTTCTGGAAAGAACTCAGGTTTTGGAATAAACTCCAATTTGTCAGTTTTGTCCATGTTTAAGGAAAAATTATGGCGAACTTAAATGGTTTCATTGAGATGTACTCGGCTAGTCTGAATCAACCCTGCGTCATATACACACGCTGGAGTTCTCATAAGCAGTTTAACCACAGCCCTGATCTATAACAAAAAGTGGCAACAGAATGTCCGCTAAAAATACTGACTTCGACACATCCAGAGTATGGTAGCACCTTTTCGGTGCCTAGCTGTCATGCCACCCGAAGGAAGCACGACGGCTGAGATACTGCCAGGTTGCCCAAGGCTAGACAGGGGAAGTCCAGATGCAGAGGTTGGGTTCGAACCATGGAGCTTACGGTCAGTAAATCCGCGCTCTAACCACTGATCGCACTTCCTGCGCGTATCACTGGTAACAGGCATAGATCAGATCTGTGAAAACACACTGTTGTACATGACCCACGAATTCCTGGTTCCTAGGAACACTACTCAGTGGTGATCAGATGGCTTGTCCTAACTCTACGAAAGACCACGTCGATTTTTCCTAAGAAAAGAAACCAGCAAGCTTAGTCTGCTGTATAATCAAGTCCCGGTAAACTATGGAATGAGAACTACTACAGTGACAGTTGCAAGTGTCACCACACACACTCCTGGTTACCAATACATTCACTGAAGGTTCACA